CACCGTAACTGTGTACCAAGCTTGCTGAGACATTCAAAGTTCATGGCTTCAGTTTATTTGCTGAGAGAAACTAGTTGTCTAATTGTTTTTTTCACATTTGAACCAGAGAGCAAGTTATTTTTGTCGTAATGTGGCGCACTTGTTATAACGAGAATGATGTACAAGATAATAGATATTTGTATAATGCATACAATACAGAATATTGATTCTTCCATTCTCGTTAGTAGAAATGTGTTTTAGCGCTGGTGTGTATGTGTTTTTTATGTGAATCTTCTTTGTCAATGTAAAATCATTAAATAAAAACAATATATAAAAAAAAAAAAATATATATATATATATATATCCAAAGAATTACCGGCACTCAAGGCTTTTTCAATCCAGACAAATTCTCTTTAATCCAAATCCACCATCAACGTTTCAGCTCTATAACTTGCAAAAAAGCTCGTAAACACGGGGTATTTTTAAACTCAGGACAGAATTTTGAATCTATTTAGCAGTTTTTTTCATTCGCTTTTGTAGATGAGTAAAAGATTTTTCAAGTAAAAGTAAAAAAACATGTATTTTTTTCAATTTTTCATCATATTTTTTCATTTTTTTTAAATGACATGAGATTATATAAATAATGGTATGTAAAGAAAGCCCCTTTTGTCCTGAAAAAACCAATATATAATTTGTATGGGAACAGTAAATGTGAGAGAGGAAAATTACAGCTAAACACAAACACCACAAAAGTGTAAAAATATGCCTGGTCGCAAATGTACAACATCGCAAAAACAGTCCGGTCCTTAAGGGGTTAAAGAGTCTAACTACATGTAAAAAAATAACATCTTGGTCTCCTGTTACATAAATGATTACAGTAGTGTTTGGCTTGTTTTTCTTATGACTATAAACTTAGAACATGGACTGGTATTTTTACACATTCATGTCTATTGGTAATGTCTTGGCTCGATCACAGCACAGTGTGGAAACTGAACCGTCTGAACCATTTTCTTGCACGCGTTAGATTACGCAATATGACATTTATAAGTTGGGTCTGACTCACTCCCTTATGTTATTTATACTATGCTCGTAAAACTTCTTTACATTTTCTAAATCTACCCCTCACAGTAGTTCAAACGCTGGAGAGGTAGAAAACATAAACAACTACTTAGCAGATGCACCCCAACAGGGATTAATTAACCAATGAAATCTTTGATGGTTGCGTTTAAAAACCGATCCATTTTCTGACACTCCCCTAGCAGTCCTGATCCCGGTGATGACTGCCAGATGAAACGCGCGTTGAGTGCGGACCTTGGCATTCCTTTTAGCTGGCAGTTTTATTTTATTCATGATTTTCATTATTTCATTAGTTAATTTTTACTCCTCCACTCAGGACTCCACTTTAACTTTCAATTTATTTACTTAGTCTCTCTTATGTAGATATATTCTACCATCACTAACACATTCCTCCATCTTACCTCTCTACCATCACTAACACATTCCTCCATATTACCTCTCTACCATCACTAACACATTCCTCCATATTACCTCTCTACCATCACTAACACATTCCTCCATATTACCTCTCTACCATCACTAACACATTCCTCCATATTGCCTCTCTACCATCACTAACACATTCCTCCATATTACCTCTCTACCATCACTAACACATTCCTCCATATTACCCCTCTACCATCACTAACACATTCCTCCATATTACCCCTCTACCATCACTAACACATTCCTCCATATTACCCCTCTACCATCACTAACGCATTCCTCCATATTACCTCTCTACCATCACTAACACATTCCTCCATATTGCCCCTCTACCATCACTAACACATTCCTCCATATTACCTCTCTACCATCACTAACACATTCCTCCATATTACCCCTCTACCATCACTAACGCATTCCTCCATATTACCCCTCTACCATCACTAACACATTCCTCCATATTACCCTCTACCATCACTAACGCATTCCTCCATATTACCCTCTACCATCACTAACACATTCCTCCATATTACCCTCTACCATCACTAACGCATTCCTCCATATTACCTAACGATTCCTCCATATTGCCCCTCTACCATCACTAACACATTCCTCCATATTACCCCTCTACCATCACTAACACATTCCTCCATATTACCCCTCTACCATCACTAACGCATTCCTCCATATTGCCCCTCTACCATCACTAACGCATTCCTCCATATTACCCCTCTACCATCACTAGCGCATTCCTCCATATTGCCCCTCTACCATCACTAACGCATTCCTCCATATTACCTCTCTACCATCACTAACGCATTCCTCCATATTACCCCTCTACCATCACTAACACATTCCTCCATATTGCCCCTCTATCATCACTAACACATTCCTCCATATTGCCCCTGTACCATCACTAACACATTCCTCCATATTACTCCTCTACCATCACTAACACATTCCTCCATATTACCCCTCTACCATCACTAACGCATTCCTCCATATTGCCTCTCTACCATCACTAACACATTCCTCCATATTACCTCTCTACCATCACTAACACATTCCTCCATACAGGGAGTGCAGAATTATTAGGCAAATGAGTATTTTGACCACATCATCCTCTTTATGCATGTTGTCTTACTCCAAGCTGTATAGGCTCAAAGCCTACTACCAATTAAGCATATTAGGTGATGTGCATCTCTGTAATGAGAAGGGGTGTGGTCTAATGACATCAACACCCTATATCAGGTGTGCATAATTATTAGGCAACTTCCTTTCCTTTGGCAAAATGGGTCAAAAGAAGGACTTGACAGGCTCAGAAAAGTCAAAAATAGTGAGATATCTTGCAGAGGGATGCAGCACTCTTAAAATTGCAAAGCTTCTGAAGCGTGATCATCGAACAATCAAGCGTTTCATTCAAAATAGTCAACAGGGTCGCAAGAAGCGTGTGGAAAAACCAAGGCGCAAAATAACTGCCCATGAACTGAGAAAAGTCAAGCGTGCAGCTGCCACGATGCCACTTGCCACCAGTTTGGCCATATTTCAGAGCTGCAACATCACTGGAGTGCCCAAAAGCACAAGGTGTGCAATACTCAGAGACATGGCCAAGGTAAGAAAGGCTGAAAGACGACCACCACTGAACAAGACACACAAGCTGAAACGTCAAGACTGGGCCAAGAAATATCTCAAGACTGATTTTTCTAAGGTTTTATGGACTGATGAAATGAGAGTGAGTCTTGATGGGCCAGATGGATGGGCCGTGGCTGGATTGGTAAAGGGCAGAGAGCTCCAGTCCAACTCAGATGCCAGCAAGGTGGAGGTGGAGTACTGGTTTGGGCTGGTATCATCAAAGATGAGCTTGTGGGGCCTTTTCGGGTTGAGGATGGAGTCAAGCTCAACTCCCAGTCCTACTGCCAGTACCTGGAAGACACCTTCTTCAAGCAGTGGTATAGGAAGAAGTCTGCATCCTTCAAGAAAAACATGATTTTCATGCAGGACAACGCTCCATCACACGCGTCCAAGTACTCCACAGCGTGGCTGGCAAGAAAGGGTATAAAAGAAGAAAATCTAATGACATGGCCTCCTTGTTCACCTGATCTGAACCCCATTGAGAACCTGTGTCCATCATCAAATGTGAGATTTACAAGGAGGGAAAACAGTACACCTCTCTGAACAGTGTCTGGGAGGCTGTGGTTGCTGCTGCACGCAATGTTGATGGTGAACAGATCAAAACACTGACAGAATCCATGGATGGCAGGCTTTTGAGTGTCCTTGCAAAGAAAGGTGGCTATATTGGTCACCGATTTGTTTTTGTTTTGTTTTTGAATGTCAGAAATGTATATTTGTGAATGTTGAGATGTTATATTGGTTTCACTGGTAATAATAAATAATTAAAATGGGTATATATTTGTTTTTTGTTAAGTTGCCTAATAATTATGCACAGTAATAGTCACCTGCACACACAGATATCCCCCTAACATAGCTAAAACTAAAAACAAACTAAAACTACTTCCAAAAATATTCAGCTTTGATATTAATGAGTTTTTTGGGTTCATTGAGAACATGGTTGTTGTTCAATAATAAATTAATCCTCAAAAATACAACTTGCCTAATAATT